GGCCGGGGCCGGGGCACGCTCGTTTCGGCCCGGTTCGCCCGGCCGCGGGGCTGGGACTTGGCTGTGGGCTGTGCCCATTGCACGGATGGGTATGCCGGGGCCTCCTTGCCGCGCCGCGGCGGTGCCGAGCGCCCCGGGATTGGTGGCGGCCGGGGCTGCTCCTCCTCGCCCGGAGCGCGGCGGCCCCGTCTGCTGCTCCGCCCGCGCATGCTCCGATGTAGAGCCGGCCTGGCTCTGCCGCGGGGCACCACTCACACGGGGCAGGTTGAGCTGGGCCCCGGGAGCAGCGCCTTGCTCGGGATGCTCCGCGTGGCCGTGAGGCCGCTGGGCAATGTCAGGCCCTTGCCCGGAGCAGCCCGGGAGGCTTGGCTGGCTGGCTGGAGCCAAAGCTGCAGGCGTGTGAGTGGCTCACAGCCGCCCCGTTGCGTTGCAGATTCCCTGGCGGTGATGTCGGTGGACCTCGGCAGCGAGTCCATGAAGATCGCGATTGTAAAGCCTGGGGTGCCCATGGAGATTGTCCTGAACAAGTAAGCTCTGAGCGTCCTCCTGCTGCGCGCCTGGGACGAGCAGGCTGTGCCTGGGGCTCGTTCTCTTGATACTTGTTATGTCTGGGCTGCAGACCTGCTGCTGTTCGTGTTAGGAGAGAACAGGGAGGTTTGCTTAAACGCAGACAGGCAGCCGGAGCTCCTTGGCCGATCTCGGCTTTGCCAGGCCGATGCAAGCAGCGCTACAAGGGGCTGGTCCTGCAGAACAGCCGGCGCTGTAGCGAGAGAAGAGCATCGCCTCACCAAGTGATGAAAAAGAGGGCAGGAGGGGGACAGAATGGCGAAGATGCTCCCCATTTCCCACTCTTACAGGAGGTCAAAGAGGCGATGAGTGGGTTGTCTTCCCTGTACCCCAAATTCAGCAGTCTCAGTTTGGGGAATGAGGCTTCCCCTTCAGCACTCAGAAAGTGGGAAACAGGCTATCCAAGTAACCCAGATCTTCCCGCTGGTGCGTGGGAAATGTCTGTCAAGGAGTCACCTGCAGTCCTTCTGAATGAAAAACATGCCATATCCTTTGTGGTGGCTCTTTGCATTGACTGCTCACCCGCGTCAAATGTTGTTTGCTTTTTGTTTCTGTTTGTCTTAATTGCTACTTCCTACTTAGAGAATCACGGAGGAAAACACCAGTGACTGTGGCTCTGAAAGAAAATGAGCGTCTCTTTGGTGATAGTGCGCTGGGAATGGTAAGACTTCTGGTCCCTGAAACGGGTGCTTCGGTTGTTACACAGATGCTCGCGTGCAAAACCCATTTCCCCATTTGCACGTTCCCTGGTGACAGGCTTCCTGGTCAGACCTCTTGTGCCTTGTTTTATCCTTTCTTCTGTGGATATGCTTGGTACCTGTGACTTCATGTCTGCTTTCCAACAATTTTGGCTCCCATAACAAACACCCTTCCCCAAGTGCATGCACTCAGTAAGAAGTACCTGGGTGAGGGTCATATGAAAGCATCAAAGCTGTCTGAGATTCAGCAAAGAGCCCTGGTTTATCTGGTGACTTTCTGTCTGTCTTTCCACAGTCCATAAAGAACCCCAAGGTAGCATTCAGGTATTTCCAGGACCTGCTGGGCAAGCACATGGATAACCCCCAGGTGACGCTGTACCGTTCACGGTTCCCAGAACACGAGCTGGTGAAGGATGAGAGGAGACAGACTGCTATCTTCAGGCTGTCAGAGTAAGTGACTGTAGAAACCTAGAGCCAGAGGCTTTTGTTGCTATGCTGTTACCTTTTGAGCTTCTGGGGAAGTGTCTCCCTTGGCACGTCAGCAGCCGACCCTCACTGCTGGCAAGACAAATCCTTTTTGAAAAAAATTCCATTTTTCAGTTAGCTCTTCAGTCGCTTTTTTACTTGGCAAGTTCCACGATCTCCCGGGTTGTGGTGCTAATGATCGATTCTTCGTTGGCAGGTGCTCTGTAAAGCTCCTGTTCTTTAGCAGAATGTGGGTTATTGGCTCCTGACTGGAGACGTTGTTTGTACTTTCAGAGAAATGCAGTATTCTCCAGAAGAAGTATTGGGCATGATCTTGAACTATTCACGTAGTCTGGCTGAGGAATTCGCAGGTACGCGTGGTGTTCAGTCTTTTTCCGGCATCAATTCATGTTTCAGTTCAAGTCACACAGGTTAAATGGAGACGGAAGGGGTCTTTGTACAGAGAAGGTTGGATGTTTCACCCTTTGACCACCAGATTAAGCCAGCCCAAAGTCAGTACAGAATAAGAGTTGCAATCAGGGGCTGTTTGGCCAGTGTGAAATGAGCTTGGGGCCCTGGCCTTGTTTCTTGTGGATAAGCATCACTGTTAAACACTGATGAAAACTCAGCTGGAATATTGCATCCAGTTTTAGCACCACACGTCTAGAAATATGTGGGGGGGGGAAGTGGAAGGAATCCAGAGGAGAGCAGTAAAAATACTAAGAATCTAGAAAACATGATATCAGGAAAGGCTGGAAGAACTGGGTCTATTTAGTGTGGAGCAGGAAAACACTGAGGAATGCGGTCAATTAGTACTGGAAATGCAGGTGAATTAAATGGGTGTGTTTGAATTGCTTTGCTATAGGCAGGTAGTTAATGGGTGCACACTATGCAGGTAGCAGCCCCAAGCCACATTTGCACAAGGGGCTTTACCTCAGAAAAGAGGTTCAGTATCCATAGGGCTGGGATTTCAGGATTCCTGAAGATCAGATTAATTTCTGAAGTCTGATGTGTCACGAAATGTTTGTTAGTAACCATTAGACCGATGGAAGACAGTGGTATGTAGTAGCTTTGAGTGAATCTTTAAAGTCTTACTGGTTTAAGATGGAAACAAGTTAACTGACTTCATCTGTGGTACAACTCTGATTTCCCTGGAGCTCTGCCTGGGTTGGCATGGGCATAGTGTTTAACATGGAGCAGCGACTTCTGGTGGCGTCTGCATAGCTACGTGCATGTTGATAGCCCTCTTATAGGGACTGCCAGCTCCAACCCTTCCCATGCAAAACTGTTTCTCTTTCGTGCCTTTCAGAACAGCCCATCAAGGATGCAGTGATCACTGTCCCAGCCTACTTCAATCAGGCAGAGAGAAGGGCAGTCCTCCATGCTGCTCAGATGGCAGACTTGAAGGTCTTGCAGCTGATCAATGATAACACTGCTGTGGCACTGAACTATGGGGTGTTCAGAAGGAAGGAAATCAATGCCACGGCACAGGTATGTGCCGCTTGGGAGGGCTGGTGAAGCCACTTGCTTCCCCTGAAATGGGTGGATGGTATGTCTAGACTTGAGGTGCCAGCCAGACTGGCTATGTGACTGGCTGGTTAAGAGCAGTTATTAGTTAGTTCTGTTTCTGCTGTGGTCATTGATCTGTCTGTAGGCAGAACTAGTATGGCTAAACAGCGAGTTCCTTAATAAATGTTTTGCTTTCAGGGGGGTGTACAAAGCAAGGGGAAATTCCTTAGGGGGAAGAACAGGGCACTAGCAGTTAGGATGCCAGGGCTCTATAGAGCCATGTCACACTGAGAGCTTGTTTCCCAACCTTTAAAACTAGGCACTGTCCTGGTTCCTCTCTCTCAAGGGGCTGGGAAGCTGTTTGTAAAATCTGTGGGCTTCCTCACATTCAAAGGATTCTCAGAGAACAAAGTAATGATTCTTTTCACATTTCATACGCTAGCAGTATGGGTGAAACAAAGAATTAGGTTTGTGAACGTGTCTTGTCCTTGTGGCACTTGCTGCAATCCGATATTTGACCAAAGTGGCCAACTTGCGCTTCCTCAATAGACTGGAGCACAGGGAGTGAGTGGGCAGTGTCTGTCGCACGCCAGCCTTTCTTCCTTCTCCTTTCTGTTCATGGTAGGGGTGGGGTATGCACAGGAGGTGTCTTAGCTTCTGTGCCTTCTGTTTTTCAGAATATAATGTTTTATGATATGGGAGCTGGAAGCACTGTGTGCACCATAGTGACGTATCAGACAGTGAAGACCAAGGACTCGGGGACTCAGCCTCAACTGCAGATCCGAGGTGTTGGGTAAGAACAATGCCTGGGGCTCTAGTGCTGCAGAGAGAATGGTGTAGAGAGAGCATTGGAACATGAGACGCTGGACGAGTTGGGATGAGCAGTAGAGTGTCTGGTGTGGGGAGGCTGACCTGCATGTAGCATGCGCGGCCTCTGCTTGCACAGATGGTCCCTAAAACTGACGGGTGTGGCAGAGCCTCAATACAGTGTTCCTTACAAGACTCGTTTGAGTAGCTTTATTGTCTGTAGCTGGCCTTTCAGCCTTTGCTAACCTAGGGGCTTTGTCTGTGCCCTTTCCGTGATGCGTGGGTTCCATTCAGGTCTATCCAAGGTGACTGTCAAATTGCTAGTTCCCTTCTCTTGCTTGCATTCCTTCAGCCGAACACTGTCAGCAAAGCAGCATCAGCAGGGTGTGCTTGCAGAAGAGTTCAGACTGCACATTTGTTGACTTCTGATTCAGTGCAGTATAGCAGTAACAGCTATTCTAACATAGCTTTTTCCACATGATTCTATGGAAACTGGGCATCCTTTTAGGCAAGCAGAAGGCACAATGGTGTTGCCTCAAACTTGGTAAGGAAGTGAGAAGGTGCAGTGGTACAGAAGGTTCATGGCTGCATAGGAACTGTGCATGGAAGTGTCTGTCAGCCTTTAAAGTCTAAACTGCTAGTCCCTAGGGAGAAATATTGAGACCAAGTTAGAAATGTAAGTTCTCACTGTTAAAATGCTCAATATCTTTAGAAATGTAGGTCTTGACTGTATTAGGGAAGCTTTTCGGATCACAGACTGAAATGGGGAGTTTCTCTTGTTGGCTCAGATAATGTGTCTTCTGAGCAGACTTGGTCTCTGTTCACAGTGGCTCATAACTGAGTGTTGTGGCCGCTATTCATCCCTGTTGTCCTGCTTGACTGACTGCATCTGGGTGAAAGCAAAATGTAATCAGTAAGATTAAATCCTTGTTCCTGTTCTTTCCCAGATTTGACCGCACGCTGGGAGGGCTGGAGATGGAGCTTCGGCTCCGGGATTACCTGGTGAAGCTCTTCAAACAGCAGCAACCTTCAAAAGATGTGCGGCAGAACCTGCGGGCCATGGGCAAGCTGCTGAAGGAGGCTAACCGCCTGAAGACTATCCTGAGTGCCAATGCTGACCACATGGCCCAGGTACCACCATGTGCAGCATGATGTTCTGCTTGCTTGGGATGGGGGTGACCTGCGTGAAGGGCAAGGGTGAAGCAGCACTTTCCCTCTGCAGCGTGAAGACAATGGAAAGCCCCAGCTCAGGGGATGCCAGAGTTAATGGAAATGCAATAAAAGTGGCTCAGAGGGGCGGTAGGGTTGGGTGGGAGCTTGGGTTAGTGACATCCCGTTCATGTTCTTGCTATTTTAACAACTTAGATCTTGGTTGGGGTGAGGGAGGTCTGCTGCTGCCTGGTTAACCAGTGCATGGGATTGGACACCTATTCTGTCCCAGGCACCGTGCCATGTGTCGTTCCTGTACACAGAGAGATGGGATGGCATTGGTTGTATTCCTGAGATAAGCAGTGGCATTGGGAAGCCTCAGCACCTGAGCAGGAGTTGAAACAAGACGTGGGTTAGAAGGTGGTGGTAACACAGGGTGTTGAATTTTTCTTTCTGGCCTGCTGACTAGGTCGAGGGGCTCCTGGATGATGTTGACTTCAAGGCCAAGGTTTCCAGGCAGGAGTTTGAAGACCTATGCTCTGATTTGTTCCAGCGGGTCCCTGGGCCGGTGCTGCAGGCACTGAGCAGTGCAGAGATGAATCTGGTAGGTCCTGTGGTGGTCCCTGGCATTGACGGGCTGCTCCTTCACAAGTGCTACCGTTTGAGTGTGGTCTGCTGACAGTTGCAGGCTCCTGCTTGTCTAAAGGAAAGGCCCAAGGATGGTGATGCAGAAGGAGAAGATGTCTGCTGCTTAGTTCAGCAGCTGTTTGTGGTCCCTCTCTGCACTGGCTGCCCATAAACCAAAGACTCGTGCTCGAGTTGCTGTTTCTTTTTAAAAGCCTTGAGTGGCTCAAGCACCAGTCTCTCCTACATCTCTGACATTGGCCCAGTCCCCTGCTCCAGCACTTCCTCCAAACTGACTAGGTAGAGGAGTACCCCTATCTTGGTGCCCCTGTGGGGCCTGGGCCTGTCCCTGATCATGGCTGTGTCCCAGTGTAATGCACACATTGGAGATGCCTTTATATTCCAGAGTTACTTCTGGCTGTCTTGAGGAGGCAGCACAAGGCCTTTGGGGTCAAAGTCTTACAGCCTTGGCTTTCACCTCTTCCTATCTGGCTGCCTCTTCTGACCTGGAGCCTGGTCTGGATTTGATTCTTTGCTGAATGTGCTGCCCTAGAGAGTGCTCTGTAACCTGTCCCTATACAGCAATCACTTTCTCAGGCCCAGCTTTTGTAGGGGCTACCCCAGGAACGACATTGGTATTGGGCCCCCTGCCCTTTGAAACTGTGGGAAATGGCATGACTGCAGAGTGCTGTAGAAATCGCAGGGGTGGGGAAAGGGGAGAAAGAAGCAGTAGACTAATTTTTTCCAAAGGTGCATTCTTAGCACAGCCTGGTTGTTTCCAAACTCCTAGGACGAAGTTGATCAGGTGATTCTGGTGGGAGGCGCCACCCGCGTCCCCAAAGTGCAAGAGATTTTACTGAAAGCTGTGGGCAAGTAAGTGTGTGCAGCAGGGGGGCAGCCTGCCCCCACCTCCCACCAACCTCCTCTTTGTGTCTGTGGCAGAAGTTTACATCTCTCTTCCCTTGGCTTCAGGGAAGAGCTGGGGAAGAACATCAATGCTGATGAGGCAGCTGCGATGGGTGCAGTCTACCAGGCAGCAACTCTGAGCAAGGCCTTCAAGGTCAAGCCCTTCCTAGTACGGGATGCAGCTACTTTCCCCATCCAGGTGAGCTCAGGTCTCTCCTCTCCTGGGTGGGAGTGTCATGGGGCAGCAAGGGACGGGTTTTCAGCTGAGCCGTGGAACCTCGTGCGGCAGGGAGGGGATGAGAAAGACGTGGAGGTTTCATTGTAGAGGGAGAGGGGCACCACATACAGGAAGGGGGCCTTGTGTTCTAGAAGGACGCAACAAGTGATGCAGTATTTAGAAACATGTTAAACCCTCTTTGTAGGAGACGTCATGAAGGGAAGTGTTGCCATTGGCATCTGATGCTTTCCCATGCCTCTCCTGCAGGTGGAGTTCACCCGGGAGGTTGAGGAGGAGGACAAGTCCAAGAGCTTGAAGCACAACAAGCGGATCCTGTTCCAGCGCATGGCCCCGTACCCACAGCGCAAGGTTATCACATTCAACCGCTACACGGATGACTTCGAGTTCTACGTTAACTATGGGGACCTGTCTTTCCTGAGCCAGGATGACCTACGGTGAGCGTGGGCGAGCAGCTGCTCAGACTCAGCCGGAGAAGTTCAGCTGCAGCTGCGTGGCCGCTGTCTTTGCCACAGCAGCAGGACAGAACTGATTTGAGCACGCCAGAGAGTGCACAGCATTTGCACTGCAGCTCTGAGCGTCTCCCCTTGTGCCTGGATGCTTCATTAGAGACTGAGGGTTGGATGGATGTTAAGAGGGGGAGCCTCTACCTAGAGACTGAGCTCTGTTCTTCCCATAGAGCCAGTAGCCCCACGTCACAACTGAGAGCGACAGGGAGAGAATTTGTTGCCAGCTTTTGCGGCTGCTTGTGGGAATAGAGGGAAGATTCTGAGCACTTGATCCCTTTCCCCAGCACACAGCAAGGGCTGCCTCTACAGGCTGTCCCTGCTTCCTTGGCTTGTTTACTGAGCCCAGGACACCATGGAGAAGTGCTTGGCTTTATCTGGTCTGTTGGAGCAGGTCCCGTCTGTCAGAGGGGAGCATAAAGGAGTAAGTGCCACACTGTAGATGCTGGCATGGCTACACTTCTGGCTAATGCGGCTGGTGTGTGGGGCTGCAAATGGAGTACAGCCATCAAAGGCCCTGGAGTGAGTGGGGGGAGCTGGTATGGAGCTGTGGGCAGCCACCCTTTGTCCCCTCTTCAGCTCAGCCTGTTAATGCTCGGGCCTTTTTCCTTTTTCTTGCTGGTGCCCCGGTTTCTCTTTCCACCCTCCCCCCCTCCCAGTATCTTTGGGTCCCTGAATCTCACCACTGTGCGGCTGAGAGGAGTCGGGGACAGTTTCAGGAAGCGCTCGGACTACGAGTCCAAAGGCATCAAAGCTCACTTCAACATGGATGAGAGCGGAGTGCTCAGCCTTGACCGGGTAAGCACCAGCCTGCTGTCCAAGCCCCTGGGCCCAACTCTGTGTGGGCTGCTGGAGGTTTCTGTTGTCATCATGGCCATTGTTGTGTCTTCCCTCCCAGGTGGAGTCTGTGTTTGAGGCTGTGGTTGAGGACAAGCCAGAGGAGGAGTCAACTTTAACAAGTAAGCATTGAACCCCTCACGCTTGCTATTCAGGCAGGTGCTTCCCTGTAACTAGGATCCCCGCCTACCTGCAAGGGCTGAGTTCCTAGGGAGCTGGGGACAACTTGCAGCAGCAGAGTAACTTGTGATCCTGAGCAAGTGCTGCTGCTGCTACTGCTCCGTGTGCACCCAAGCATTTCTCAGTGTTGTACCACGGCGAGTGGAGCATATGTGTAGCACGAGGGAGGTGCATTTGCTCAGCCAGAGCCACCAATGCAAGAGGAAACACAGCTTTTAGCTGTGTCTTGAGTGGGAGTCCTGCCTGCCTGCTTGGTGCTTCAGTACTCTCTGTCCTGGCCATCAGGCTGTATTTTGTACTGACTGGATGCTTCCTGTTGTACTAGGTCTGGGGCTGGCGCTGAGAGTTATGCCTAATGTGAGGGTGTCTGGGTGGGCAGCCAGGGCAATAACAAGTGGGAATGGTCATTGCAGTTTTGAAGAGGGAAAGTCCAGGCTACGTTGTAGCAGAAACAAGGGTCCCATTCTGCGAACAAGTGGTTGTGGCACTGGGGACAGCTAGCAGGGAGGGGTGGGAGTCATTGCTCTACAACTTGTCTTTTTGGTATCCGTGGAGGTTGGGAAGGCACTTTGCAGAATCAGCCCATCAGTTCTAAAGCCCAGGAGACAGTTTTGCAGTGTTGGTGAACTGGACTGATGCACCACCCCCTCCTTGGAGACCAAAGGTCGCCAGGCTGAGTCAGACATGACTTTCTGATCTTTCTCCTCCACCAGAGCTTGGAAACACAATCTCCAGCCTGTTTGGAGGAGGGGGCCCAACTTTGGAAACAGGAGAGAACCTGACAGAGGCTGTTCAGGTAAGAGACTGGAGGTAGCACAGGTGCTAGCCAGAGGAGGCAGTGGTAAAATGGGGAGCAAGGCAGGGAATGGTTCTCAGATGTCAGGTTTAAAAGCACCTGCTGCAGGAGCTCATGTCTGTCTGTCAGCTGGATGCTACAGGTATAATAAATGCATAGCAGTCACCTCCTGATGGTAATCCCTGCATCCTGCCCTCCAGCCCAGGGTCTAGGGCTGAACACAGCTGCTTGGCAGCCCCTGCTGTAATGCTGGAGAAGCATCTTTATGGCAGGGGGGTTACTTCCAGACCCCATGTTGTCCTTGCAGGTGCCTAGGGTGCTGGGCCTGATGGCTCTTTGCTGCCCATAGGAAGCTCTGTCCCCCTCCTAGTGAGGCCAGAAAACTGAGCTATAGGTGGCAATTCCATACTGATGTGGGTGAACTTCTCCAAAGCTTCTGCCCTGCCTGGTCCCCACTTTGCAGCTGGTGCTTCCCTCAAGAGCAGTCCACTCTGAAGTGCCTACATACGGTTTCCGTACGAAAACTTTGCATCTTCCTCCCTGCTCCCCAGGAGGATGAGGAGAACCAGGTGGAAACAGCCAAGGAGGAGAAACAGGGCCAGGAGAATGGAGCAGAGGCTGCCAGCAAGGAGCAAGGGGAAGAAAAGCAGCAACCGCCAGAGTCGTCGACACAAGATAAAACCGGGGCTGCCGCTACAGAGGCCGACGAGCAGGAGAAGGGGGAAGGGGAGAAGCCCAAGGATCAGGTGAGTAGCTGACTTTGCAAAGGGAGACTTGTTGAATAGTGCCTCTGAGATGGTACACGTATGGGCTAGAATCTGCACATACATAAGCAGTTCTGCCCCATGTGCTCTGGCTCAGCACCACAGCCTTGTTTCCTGCTTGACATCTTTGAGAACCAGTCCCTGGCTTCTTTCCCCTTAAGAGGCACAGCGGGGGAAACAGCCTTCTTTCTTAGTGTTTGTGAGAGATGGAAAATTCCTGCCCCTTGGTGTTTGTTTGGCAAAGATGCCTATCCCTTTGCAGGTGTCAGTATTGCTTTCTGCCTTTGCTGCTCAGATTCACAGCCAATCTCCTCTCTCCTTCCCAGGCTTCATTCTGGCCCTCGCCATGTCTCCCTCCTTCCCTCCCCATGTTTGCCCGTTGGCTGTCAAGAGAACAGGCTGAATAAAAATGGAAACTTGAGGGAAGTTGGTTAATTCAGGGTAAAATACAACCTTACTTAAAAGCACAGCCTTTTTGCTGACAAAGACAAGGCTTCTAAGGGCTGGTTTGCATCAGTGTTTGTGAAGCACTGAATGGCACTGTAGGTTTGCACTGCAAGTGCAGGAACACAAAGATGGTCTGTGGACCCTTGACCTTCAATAGTTTGCATCAGGTGGTTGGCTGTCACTTTTGAAAGCATACCTGGCAAGGTAGAGGGTGCTGCATGTTTGTGCCTATATACTTTGGAGTTGCTTCTTTCCAATGCAGGATCCCAAAGAAAAGGAAGACTCCAAGAAAGAGGAGGAATCACCCAAAAGTCCTAGTGATGGTGCAGCCACTAAATTAGAGGAGGAAAAGAAACCCAAAGCTCCCAAGAAGCAGAAGCTGGTGGATGAGATAAACATAGAACTGGATGTCAATGATGTGCTGGACCTTCTGAAGGATGAGCTGAAGAGCTCAGCAAAGAAGTGAGTTTGATGGGAGCATGGCTAAAGGGAAGGACAGCTATAGGAGCAGGCTGGTCTGGGACTAGGGAGCCAGAGCAAGTAATGAATTGTAGGGCGTGTGACTCAGGGAGATGAGCTGATGGCCAGAGAAAAAGGCCTGCGCCTCCTGGCCTCAGATGTATCTGCTTAAGCTAGATGTTGCCAGTCCTCGTTCCCCCTTTCCTGGGGCAAGGGAAGAACCAGCTCTGGAGTGGGGTGGCAGTGAGGGGCTTGCGGGTCTTATAAGTACTGATCTCTGGAGCTGGCTTGGTGCTGTCCCGTGTCCTCTTCGCGTCGTCCAAGGGAGCTTCTGTGGCTTGGAGCCCCAGACCAGGGCAGTGAGAGAGATTACTTCAGGTGTTCTCGCTGCTGCATATGAAACTGCACTTGAGGACTGCATTTAAATTACTCCCATCCTCCATACAGGGGTCCTCCTTCCTCCCCTTGAGATCAGGGAAGCTTTTGATGTCACAGGTGGTGGGAGGGGCACGGATTTGGAATTGAGAGAAACCAGTCCTGTCCTCTCACCTCTGGACTTGGACCCCCATAATGTCTGTGCATCTACCCCAGCTCTGGCTATGTGAGAGGTGCCACCCCCTTTCGCAGTCCTTGGCAGCACAGGGAACATGACCAGCACAAGGACGATGATGCCACTTTTTGCTTGTGTCTGGCTACGTCACATTTCAGACTCCAGGACCTGACCATCAGAGACTTGGAGAAGCAGGAGAGGGAGAAGTCAGCCAATAGCTTGGAGTCCTTCATCTTTGAGACCCAGGTAAGAGTGAGATGGGCTGCAGAGCAGGTGGGAATGGCTGCAGGTGGCAGGGCTGAGCCAGCTGCAGAGCGCTGCATTTGCTCATGCGTGGGGGAAACCTCTTTGGAGGACTGAGATTCTCTCCACCAACAGTGTTAACTTGCCCAGTCCTATGTGGAGTTCGGAGCCTGCTGAGGTAGGAGGAATCATGTCAGGAGTTAGTCTGTGTGCTTAAAAAAACAAAAAACCTTTGCCTTTGTAAAGCTCCTTCCCTGCCTTGCCTTACCTCTGTTGTGCTCTCACTGGGAAGAAACCAGTCAGATAAGAACACTGGGGTAGGTGCACACTGCAGTTGCTCCTACTGTTGGCCCATCCTACCACTGCTGGCTTGAGTTGGAAGCGAGATTGGGGGCTGAACTAGGGTCTCCTGCTTGATAGCACCTGGGAGCATCCTAGTCCTTGCAGTGCTAGCGTACGGCACCCAGAGAGCAAATGCAAAAGTTTTGTGTGTTTTCCTTTTACTCAGCAGTTCACAGATGACACTTTTGCTTTGTCTTCTCAGGACAAGCTTTTCCAAGAGGAATATCAGTTTGTGTCAACAGAGGAGCAGAGAGAAGAAATCTCCAGAAAACTAAGTGAAGCCTCCAACTGGATGGAGGAGGAAGGGTATGCGGCTACAACCAAGGTATTGCTGCAGTGCGTGGGAAACAGACCTAGGTTCCCTCAGTCTGATAGAGCAAGGGTTGATCCAGAGATACTAACGTGGTTTTGGGATGTCCTGGCACTTGGAAGCTCTTGTATTCATTTTGCCCAGCACTGAGTTGCACTGGGACTAGCTCTCCCAGTGGTATTTCTGTCATGCTGACTCCAGCAGGTCACCGCTCTCTCTGTAGGCACAATGTCCGTGTCGCTCCTGTTTGACACAGTGCTCCTGCATTCACTGGAGTATCCTGGCAGAACTCGTGCAGTTCAGGCTTCTGTGATTTCTGGATGTCTTCAGATATCTGATGAGATTTGTTCCTGTCTTGGTTTCACTTGCAGGAACTGAAGGAAAAGCTTATAGAGCTGAAGAAACTTTGTAAGGGCCTTTTCTTTCGTGTGGAGGAAAGGAAGAAGTGGCCGGACCATCTGGCTGCCCTGGAGAGCCTACTCAACCACTCCAGCATCTTTCTCAAGTAAGAGTGAGATACGTACTGAGACTGTTTGTTTGTTTGATTGGCTGAATCAAATGGAATCTGGTCCCAAGCTGCTGAAAGCATAGAAGGAAAGGGATTGAAGGGTGGTGCTTAAAGGATACGCTAACAGAACTGCACCTTGGACCAAGGATGAAGTCCTTGTACATCCTATAATGCACGCACCTTCTTGGGTGTCTAGGGGACTGTCCCTACGCACCTCGGCTCCTCCAGCCTAAGCTTCCCATCTCCTAGTATGCCTATCTCTGTCGTGATCATGCCTGGAGCCTTTTGTTTCCCCTTTCAACCCAGTAGCTTTTCATCACCACTGAATGCGAGGTGGGGATTCTTTATCCCATTCCCAGTACCCTGAGATGGCGCTGGGTGTCAGTTACGTTATATATAAAGTGCAGTAAGGTCCAGATAAAGTGGTCAGCTTGTGCAATGAATTCTGTAGAGGTTTCAGACACGGTTGATGTGAATGTCTACCTTGCATGGCCAGAGTAATAGATGCTGCTTTGTTCTTGTCTTTGAGGGGAGCCCGGATGATTCCTGAGCCTGATCAGATATTCACAGAAGTGGAGCTGAGTACCCTAGAGAAGGTTATTAATGAAACAACGGTAAGGAAAAAGGCCAGGGTGGTCTTGGTTGCGTAGAACGTGTTGGGTGTGACAGTGATTGGCTTTGTTCTCATGCGGGGATGGGGAGCATTGTGCATGTCGCATGCTCGTGTCAGCAAACCATTTCTTTCTTGTGCTTCTCAGCCCCTAGCTTTTTTGCCTTGTACAAACGCAGTGTTTGGAGGCGTTTGTTTGGAGGTGTTTTTCTGTATGCAGTATGGGAGGGCTGGCGCTTCCCCGGTAACTAGCCTGTGAATAGTTTTTAGGGCAACCTTGGGATTTCTTGATCTTTGTTGCAAAGAGGATGGAGAAAGTACAAGAGGTTGCAGTGTTGACTGTGGTCAGTTAGCATGTTCAAATGGTGTGGGTGAGACCATTTTAACGCTGCTTCTCGGCACCAAGAAGTGGTGGTGTGCTTAAGGGAAAGTAGTGACACTGTGCTTTCTTTTGAAGATCTGGAAAAATGAGACCCTGGCAGAACAGAATAAACTTCCTCCCACGGAGCGGCCGGTCTTGCTGTCCAAGGACATAGAGCTGAAGATTGGTGCTTTGGACAGAGAAGTGCAGTACCTCCTGAACAAGGCAAAGTTTGCAAAACCGAGACCCAAGAAGGAAAAGAATGCCACTAAAACTGACTCGGGCAAGAATTCCACATCTCCCCCTGAGAGTGAGAGGATCATCCCTCCCAAGGAGGAGAAACGGGAAGGTGAGAGGAGCACTCGGGTGGTGGGTACCCCTGTGGGCATCTTCTACCTTAACCGTCGGTTGTAACGTACCTTTGAGTAGTCTGCACAGAGCTGAGGAGACCAACAGTGAAGCCTTTAGCACATCAGGAAGGAATATTGGTTCTCCATGCGATTGCAGGAAAAATGGGTGAAGCCTAATGCAGCACCCCTGGTACTATGGAAGCCAGGGTGTAGAATCCTTTAAGTGAAGGGCTGGGTGCAGGAGGTAGTGTCTCTCCAGCACCCACTCATTCTCCAGTACTTGCCATCGGGCCAGGCCTTCCATGTGGAAGAGGTGCCACCTTGCTCTGGATACCTGGGGCTCCCTGGAGGTTGCTCCTATTCTCTGACTGGGTTCAGACTTCCTCGGTTGTTCTGCTTGGAACATTTAAGAATGTAGCTGACAACTCCCCTAGTTTTAACCACCAGAGGCAAAGTGCCTTATCCCTGTGGCACTCACCCTGCTGTGCTGCAGGCAGACATCCCTGCGCAAGGTCTGGCTTCTTTATTAAGATGGGTCTAATTCAGAGCCCTTTGGTTACAACCCCTGGGATATCCTTCTGCACTGGCTGCTAACATGTTTGAATGCCTTGCCTTATTCTCACTGCCCCTCGGTCCTTTCTGCTGTCACTGATCCCTGCCAGACTCTTCCCTCTTTCTGCTTGTTGGTTGTGGCTACTTCTCATGCCCTCACGTTTCCCACAGAGGAACCTCTGCACTCGGTTTACCCTTTAGCTATCTCGGGTCTACTCTGCAAGTTGACTGGTAATCTGCTGATGAGCTGCTGTTGGTCCACTTAGTCTCTGCTGGCAAGTTGCTCTCGTTTTATCTCCTGTAGTAGAGCTGAAGGAAATGTGGAGCTTGAAATACCTGCTGTGACTGTGATTTACCTTTTGCTGTCTTCTGTCCCCACATGATGCAGGTAAACCAGAGGATGCTAGTCCAGTCAAAGAACCTCCTACATCCGAGAGAGAAGCAGCAGGTGACGAGCTGGGACCAGATACAGGTATGTTTGTGTGAGGACCAGAACCCTAGTGACTGTGAAATGCAAATAAGCCAGTAAGTGTGACGGGCCCTCTGGCTGCTGCAAGTGAATTGGTAACGTGGCAGTCCTGCAGACCAGCAACCAATAAGTGTCTGGAGCTGGAATTGCAGTTATGACTTTGTCGGCCCTGGAAAAATCGTTGAGAGAGAGGAGCTGAGTATAACACTCGGAGCACAGACCCACACAAAAACAGGTGTCGCTGACTGAAAACCCTGGGCCACTCGCTTTAGCCCAGGTGCAGGGTTACATTCTCTTACGTACTTTCAGCTGTGTCCTGGCCACCGTTTGGTCACGTAATGCTTGCTCGATAAGATGGAATAAGGGCCTGATCTGAGGTCACAATTATTTTCCTGTAAAATGTGGGTGGTAGCTGGAACAAAATGTGGGAGGTCTGTGCTTGGGACACTGTCAGGTGAAACTTGGCCCAGTTTTTAAATGGTGCCAGGAACACACTTACAGTCTAACCAGTAGCGGTCTCTTTACAGCTGCTATATTGTGGTGGTAAGGGGTTGGGGAGATCTTAGTTGTACCCTGAGGTGTTTGGAAGCTGAATAGTGAAGAACTGTTCTAGTTCATGAGAGCCTGTGAGGAAACCAATCTTTGTCCAGCTGAATAAAATCCGGACATCAAGCAAATTCCATAAATAGTAAAAAGTTAAACTTCTATGAAGGCTTCATAGAGGGATTGCTTGTAATCGTCTTCGTTAAAGACCGGTTTTTAACCCCCAGTATAATTCTACGTAGCACGTTACGTACCTAAGGGTGCCAGGATTTGCCTTTGGTGTGTAATTGTCACCTTCCAATATTTGCATCTAGTACCTACTACCCGAGAGTGGGCACCCTGCAGGTTGAGAGTTTGCTGATTTAGTTTAATTTTAGTACAGAAATGTTCAAGTCACATCTGCTGTGTGTCTAGCAGAAGTGTATTTGCATGGCTGGCTGACTGAGTCTATTTGTTTTTTCTTTGTTTTGAAGAACCTGGGAAAACACAGAAGCAAGAAGCTGGAGGAGAGAGCAGGACAAATGATGAGTTATAACACCCCTGAAATTCCGTCTAACATCAGCATCTATTTATTTAACAGTTACTTTGTTTTTTTATAATGGACCTGGTTAGCTTCAGTGTAAATGGAACATGATGAGCAGGATGACAACAAAATGCAATAGAGATGTACATTTTCTTTTTTTCCCCCCCCCCGGGGATCTTGTCATTACTAATTTTAGAGAGTTGGGTTTTGTCTTTCTGTTCTGTTTCACGTGTTTAAAAGATGACTGTTCTCACACAAGCTGTCATTGCGTTTCAGTACTGTCCCAATAGTGTCACCACAAGTGGCTTTTCTCATAGATGAAAATCAGTAAAAAAAAAAAATGTTTTTTAAGCTTTAAGGAAACATCTTGGAACCTCCACTCTTTGCCACAACTCATCTGGTGAAGATGCAGGTGTTAAAGTACCCAGGAACTCATGTGGCTGAATGTCCGTTTGCAGATGAGGTACTGATATAAAGCAAACACCATGCTTTTGGCCAGTGAGAAGCACGTTCTCCTTGTGATCCACGGGAAAACGAACTGGGATTGGGGAAGTGATGCTACCTGCCTCAAGATAAGAATGTCCTTCGTGGTTTTTTTCCTTAGATCCATGCTGCTAATGTCCCTTCTACCCTTCCTTCTGTTCATGATGGCATCTCACAACAGGAGGATGCTGAGAATTCAGTTCCAGACTTAAAATATAAAAAGCCCA